CGGTCAGCAAAGCACAAGATATGTTAAAGATTCACATGGATGTGATCAAGAATCCGGGAGTGAACCTGTACCAAGGAAAAGACCAGCCAAATAAAGGTAAAGGTAAAGGGAAGGGTAAACCAAAGGACGAAAAGAAAAAGGCAGCATGTTATGTATGTGGCAAAGAGGATCATATGTCTCCAAAATGCCTAGACAGACTGCTACCAGAGAGTCAATGGAAACATCCAAAACATTATGTTGATTATGGGAAGAAGCTCAATCTTAATCAGATTGGAGCAACTGTCCCAACTACAGCTACCGTTCCTGGACCTTCTCCAGCGACAAGTGTGATCACGGGTGGAACATTGAGCGTTGCGGGAAAGTGTTAACACACCTTTGCGACTTGCTGGTACTCCAGGTACTCAAATGATCCAAGTTCCTACAGGTAATCAAATGATGCAAGTCCCTTCGGGAATGCAGCTCATGCAGATTCCAACTCAAGGCGGCGGCACTGTTACTGTCCCTTATTCTATGAATGCTAACGGTGAGATTGCGTTCAGTGGAATGCAACTCAGCCAACAAGGCTTCTGTGGTGCTCAAGTGCGCCAAGGATTCGATGCAACTCAAGCTTGAACTCCGCAAGTTGTGAAGACTGGCTATTTTGATATGTCAAATGTCTTTCACGATGCTATCAAGGGAAAGGATGAGAATGGCAATGATGTCTATCTTATTCCATGTCCTGCTGGAACGACTAACTGATCTTGCTACTGAAGCAGATCGAGGTATGCAGTTCATTCAAAGCCGCAGAATCGAAAGAGATCCGTTTGGTTTGCTCGATCACGTCATCATGGACAGTTGTTGCACCAACACCACCATTTGTAATGGTGAACTCATGCATGGACTACGTCAAGCTGAGAAAGAGCTCGATATGCATACTAACGTGGGCAGCAGAGTTCTCGATGAAGAAGGGTTTCTAGGAAGATTTCCGCCTCCAGTTTATTATGATGAAGACGGAATTGCCAATGTACTTGCTATGCACGAGATGATTGCTGCGGGATACCGCATTACCATGGATACTGATTTTGACAATGCCTTTGTTGTGCATTGCGATGAAGACAGACAGATGCGATTTGTGAATTGTAAGGGTGTATATGTGTTGAAGCAACTTGGAGCGAATGTCGAACCAAGTGCCAAAAAGCCAAGTGCGATGTATTGCCAGTTAAGCAACGTAAATAAACAACCCCATTTCGAACTTTCTTCAAAACAGAATGGATATGCTGGACTCGGGATGTCTGCGAAGATGGCAGCGGTTCGAAAGAACAAGGAAGGATTCACTCCAAGACAAGTCAAGGCTGCGATGGAAGCGAGAAGTGCGATGCACATACTCAATGCTCCAAGCACCAAAAGTTTGAAGTATGCGATCCGATCTGGCTTCATCAAGAACTGTCCTATCACTGAAGAAGCGATCAATCATGCCGAAGCAATCTTTGGACCTGACGCCTCTACATTGAAAGGCAAGTCAACAAGACCAACTCCGAAGAAGACGTACGACGACTTCTTCAGTCCACCAGAGGAATTGTATCAGCACAATCGATCTATTACCGTCTGTATTGATCACATGGAGATCGAGAATGCTAAGTTTCTCACCTGCATTGATACCACTGTGCGTTATCGCTCATGTATTCCCATGCAGAACCTGAAGACTGACCCTGTATTTGACGCATTGGATAAGATATTCCGCCGCTACAACAAGGCAGGCTTTCAAATCAAGATCATCAAGTGTGATTGGGCATTCATTTCTCTCACGGATGATATGGGTGTTACTCTTGACCCGACTGCAGCTGGAGACCACGAGCCTACAGCTGAGCGAAAAACGTTGTCCCTTCGTAGGTTCAATGTAGATCGCTTCAATACTTCGCGGTTCCATCGAATTGTTGGAATCCGTCCAAATTGCATGAACATTACTGTCCAAGCTCAGCAACCATGTCATTCTTGTAGTTGATATTGACATTATCAATGAGTTGCTGTGGACTGAAATGTGAAGAAATACTGTCTTTCTGGGGAAAGACATTCAATAGTTCGGCGGCTTGACGTCCAAGACATTCAATGATCACCTTTGGTACCACTTTGTAGGGTAATCGTGCAAGAGCTACTCTAACTCTTTCTTTCAGCGTTCGATTTTTTCGCTCAGCTGTAGGCTCGTGGTCTCCAGCTGCAGTCGGGTCAAGAGTAACCCCATATCATCCGTGAGAGAAATGAATGCCCAATCACACTTGATGATCTTGATTTGAAAGCCTGCCTTGTTGTAGCGGCGGAATATCTTATCCAATGCGTCAAATACAGGGTCAGTCTTCAGGTTCTGCATGGGAATACATGAGCGATAACGCACAGTGGTATCAATGCAGGTGAGAAACTTAGCATTCTCGATCTCCATGTGATCAATACAGACGGTAATAGATCGATT